GCTCCACAGCCTCGCGCTCCCGCTCGTAGCCCTTGCCCCGGCTGCCGAAGTCGTGGCTGGACAGCTTCTCCCCGCTGTACGCCGCGGGGCCCCGGGACCGGCTGCTCCCGCTGTACGCGCGGTCGTCCTCCTCCACGGCGTCCCGGCTGGACGCCCCGTAGTGCCTCTGCTGCTCATACACGTTCTTCTTGAGCCCGTAGGTGATTTCGTCCTGGAACCTCCTGCCCCGGGCGGCCAGGCCGCTGCTGCCCGCGGGGGGAGGGTAGGAGGCCAGGTCTGACTCCACATCCCGGGCTTCTTCGATGGGCGAGAACTTGGAGACCTTCTGCTCCATGCCCTGCTTCCGGTGCTTGCTGCGCTTCGAGACGGCGGCCGGGGCCAGGCTCTTGGAGGCGTGTTTGGGCCCCGCGGGGCCTGGACCGTACTTGTCTGGGCGAGCCCCTTGGCGGTAGTCGCTGTCACCGTAGTAGTGGGTGCTGGCGGCCCGGCCGTCGCTCTCCATGCCCCGGTGGGGGCCGCTCTTTCCTCGGGGGTCGTAAGCGTCTTCCTCGGACTCTTCCTCCCCACGGGCATAGCAGCAGGGCAGTGTGGGCCCCTCAAGTGCCCCTGGCTCTCCTGGCTCCTTCCCTGGACGCCCACCGCCGCTCGGGCCCAGGAGCTCCAGTCGCTGGCTGTCCAGGGCCGTGGAGGCGCTGTCCTTGGTCAGCTCACTGATGTCGTCGATCATCACATAGTTCCGAGGGACGCTCTGCTCCAGGCTGGCGTAGTGCGAGTCAGAGGGGTAGGTGGGCGCTGGGCCCGTGCTGCTGCGGTCACTGGCCCGGGGCAGCTCTGGGGTCTTGCTCTGCTCGTAGTTGCTGCTCATCACAGGGCCACTGTAACCGGTTTCGGAAGGGGCCGAGGACATGGCCACGGCGGGGCCAGCGATCACTTCGTAGTTGGTGGGCACCTTCTGCTCCAAGTCGGCTAGTGATGTCTGGCGTGGCTTTGGATGGGGGGCACGGCTGTCGGCCGGGACTGGGTAAAGGGTGCTCTGTGTGGTTGGCATGGGTGTTTGGGCTGCATAATGGCCTGTGGGCCGGAAAGCCTGCTGGCTTTGCAAACCAGGCTCAGCAGGGTAACTGGTGCCGGGAGGAAAGGCAGGCGCTGGGTACGTGCTGGGGCCAGGGTAGGCAGGTGCCTGGTGGGCCGGGAATCCGTTGGGAGTCGGCCCAGCGCTGCCTGCAGAGTACTGTGGGGCCGGAGCGGGGAGCCGGGGCTGCTGGAAGGCAGCGGGGCCGGCAGGGGTGGCGGGAGCCGCGGCGGAGATGGGGAAGTCCGCGTACTGTCCGGGCGTGGCGCAGCCCTGGAGCCGCAGCTGGTTGAGCTCGCTGTCCGACAGGTAGTCCCGATGCTCACCGAGGCCTCGCAGGGGCGCGTAGTCGCGGCCGCCCCGGTCTTTGGCCAGAGACTCCTTGCGCTGCGTGATGCCCAGCTCCAGGTACTTGAGCTTGGCGTCGATCTCCTTCTCCTCC